GAGGAGCCGGCCCCGCGCGGGGCACCGAGCGCGGCAGCCACCCCTGACACCCGCCTTTCGGTGCATGGACGGACCCGTTCAAAACGGACCCAAAATTTCATCTGCTTCCCACGCACCCGACACACACGCTGGTGTTTCCTTCAAGGGATGTTGAGCAGGAGGTCCTGCTGGCAGCAAACCCCGGGCGAGGGACCCCAAGGTCCTGCTTTAAGGGTCAGAAGGACTCTGCCGTTCTTGTTAAGCCCAACTATTCGTCACGAGGAGGTGTCAGACTGGTGGGTTTGGGGAAAAAATCCTCGCTGACGTTTGGCCCTGCGTGACCCGAGACGGGTCACGGGGCAGCACCTCGAGCGCCGCCGCGAGCACGAGGAGCCGCTGGGCGAGGGCCGGGGCAACAAGGAGGGCACCGAATCTCGGGACTTGCTGGAAGCGGCAGCGTCAAACAACGGAGGCCGGAGCCGGGGCCGCAGCGCAGAGCCGGGGCACGGAGGGCACAAGGCACACGGGGCGGCTGGAGGGCCCTTCCAGCATTCCCGTCCGCAGGAAGGGCCCGCGGGGCTTCCCGCAGCACCCCGGCGGCGCTGGCACATCTCGGAGCGGGCCTGAACGCCCACAGGGATTAACAGGAAAGCGCAGGGGGCAAAAAAAAGATTAAAGACCTAACAGGCAAGTACTGACGGGTCACAGGCTCAGCTTGATTATGCCTTAGGATTCTTAAAGGGTATCTGAAAATGTTACAAAGCGTAAAAATCAAAGACACAGCATCATACGGGAAATAAGATAGCAGCCCTGTTGCCTTTACGTGTATTTTAGGAGAAAAAAAGAGTGGAGAGAAGCGCTCAGGATGCGACTGGCAGCGGAGGAGCCACCTCTACCCCTTCCCTCCCGAGGCCCGGGCTGCCCGGCACGCGGATCCCAGGGCCGGCACCACGCTCATTCACCCCGTTATGCAACGCGGAACAGTCATGGAAAACGCAGCTGTCAACGGGCAGGAGGCTCCTTTCGAGATGCCTGACGGATCCCTAATCAGGAATCTCGGGAACTGCTACGTGCTGCTCCATAGGCCGGCACCGAGGCCGCCCGAGCAGGCCCTGCTGAGCGGGACCTAGGGAGCAGCGGCTGAGCTGGCTCCGCACGGGACCGTGACTCACCCGGGACAGCCACGAGCCACCGCGTGGCCCTGGCCCTCCTCCTGGCCGGGCAGGTCCCAGACCCGCCACCGCCCCCAAATCCAGCCAACAGCCACCTTAAAGGGAGAAAAAACCTGACGGCAAAGGTGCAGCTCCTTGAAACTGCATCGTCTTAACGGGAGAACCAGCTTGGTTTTAGTTCTGCTGCTTGCTCTAACAGCAGACAAAAGCTGTTGCTCCAGAGGTAGACTTCATCACGTCCCTAAAAATGTACACCTATAAATAGAGAAACTGTTATCAAACATTTGCATCTGGACAAAGAGCACAAAATGTTCACGGTAAAGGGACAAGTTGTGAAGTTTAACTTTTTCCCATTAATTCCTCCAAGGAACGGGCAGATTCCTTTTCCCTGACCGCAGAAACCCTGCCGCTTTCCAGCCCGCGGCCCAGGGTTTTTGCTAAGGAACAGCTCCCTGCGAGGCTGCTAGGGAGTCTGTCCTGGCAGCCCGCGCTGGAACCTCCCGCGAGTCCTAAAAAGGAAAGGTTTCGAGGAGAGAAAGAGGAGCCTTCCCAGGACAGCCCTCACACCTCAAGGGATCAACACCACGGACACCACGCAGCAGAACCGAAGCAACCAGCTCGTCACCTCCAGCTCCCTCCAAAGGCACATTCCTGCTCTGGGGAATTGCTTCCCAACTGGCCCTTCCTACCCGGGCTTTGTTTTTCCTCCGAGCAAAATGAGGGAAAAGTTTAAAATCAACCTCGTAGGCAGCGGCATTCCATTTGCAAGAGTTCATTCTTAAAAAGAAAAATAATAATAAAAGGCAAACTAATTCCTTGGTAAATATTTGGGGTTACAGCTCCGCGTAGCAGGATCTTGTCAAACGCTTCCAAGGTTGCAGAGAGCCAGTAATTCACTCAAGACAGCAATCCATGGAAATAGCAGGACTTATTGCAGGACAGAACTATTTTTAAAGGCTTTACTTGCAGGGTGCCAATTTCCTAAAACTGTTTGGAAAATCACATTTTGAAATGCACAGACACTAATGGAACAGGAATGTGCTATAGCAACAGGCCTCTTTTGCTAGGAGATACACTAGGTGTGTGTCTGGACTTTCCAAATCACTTGCCTTCCCCCCAAAAATCACCTTTTCCTCCTTGAGCTCTCATCGAGGATAACAACAACAAACCGGGTGACCGCAGGGAACAATGTTTATTTATAAAGCCTATTCCTAATAAAACCTACCATATTTTTGGCAAACCGCTCCAGCTGTTTTCAAGAAAATCAAAACAGTGACAAAACACTTCTGATTAGGCTAAAGCATCGTGGTAGTAAAGATTATACGTAATATATACTTATCTATATCCCTATCAGCACACTTTTATGATGGCTCTGACGGCACTTGAATAACTATAAATTCCAGCAATCCATCTATGCTTCACTTTGGTATTTACACTGTAATGGATTCTCCCTTGCTGCTGCACTGGGATATTTTTTCAGCTCCTCTTCCCATTTCAAGCAGCTCTTAAGCTGCTGCACGTTTAAAAAAACCTCCTTTTTCGGAGGATGTCAGTGACATGAAAGAACTTATGCGTTGCTCTATGTCTCTACCTTATTCTGCCATTACACAAAGTGGAAAAGAAATGAAGACAAATATCTTCCCGAAGAAGGATTTAGAAGCAAGGTTAATAGTTTCATTTTATATGTGGATGCTTCTCCAGGGATACGGTTTTTTATCCCAGAGCAACTTCTGAGGTTATTTCAATGTGCTTTTAGATTATACAAGTGCCCTATCTTCTAGAGGCACTTTATCTAGTCAATTAGTAAGAAAATGAAATAAATACCTTAATGAATCCAGGGAAAACAGAGTGCTCTCAATATACTGCTGATTACTAGGCCAGGGCAGCATTATTTCTGCAAAGGTAAGTCACCAATAAAGGTGCCTCCCTATAACATTAAAAGTTGTTTCATAAATAAGAACAGGGAGCTGTTGTGCATGCTCTGTAGCAGCAACAAACTGCAGAGCCAACAACCAAAGTGTTCACAAGCAGGTCCTGACAACAGAAACCAAACTGTGACAATTTATTCCTAAATCTGACTTCAGGAACCTGCTAAAAAGCCCAGAGCAGACAGGGCAGGGCATGAACCCACTCCAAAAAAAATGCTGCCTCAATAGTGAGCAACCAGATCTGCTTTTGAGGCAGAGATTGGCAGAGGCATTTCCCGTTTGGAGTCCCAACACAACACGGAAACGGAGAAGACTCCATCAGTTTTCCTTTGTTGTTGTTTTTCTCCTGATTTCCTTATGTTTTAAATTAGCTGTGACTCACGGCAAGGCGCTGCACTAACCCCCCGAACACCCCTCCTCTCGCGGAGGGGAAGCCAAGTGCAAAAAGTAGGGCAAAATGACGCAGGGGAAGCGCCGACTGAGGACACGCTCCGAGGAAAGCGAGGCGGGAGGAAGCGCTGCCCCAGTCCTGCTACCACGTGGGGAAAGGACAGACGGTCACACGGTGACACCCAGCTCATTTGTTAACGAGGGTGCCAGGCAGTTACTCACTTCAAATTGTTTCAGGGAGCTGCAATTACTCAGCTTGCTGGAGAATCCTGCTGCTTCGCAGAGCACGGGCAGGATGGCGCCTGGCAGCCGCCGGCTTGCGCGTGCCGAGCTGTCCTCGGGGATGCACTGCCCTCTCTTGGAGGTTTTGCTCAGGATCCCAAACCCAGCCTTGGGAAAGGGCTACGGAGACCAACGCGCTAAGGGCATAAAGAATAACATCTGTCCAAGGGACAACGAGCAACCGTGCTAAAGCTCCCTGCTGCTACGGGGCCCTGAAGAATGAAGCGCACGTGTCTGCTGCGAGAGCTGCTTCCCAGGTAGGTCCCTTTTACCTAATAACCTTGCAGGTACCTTTAGACAACCCTATGAAAACTTTAATCTTCTCACCTGGAATTGCAAGGCGGATAACACACGGCCCAATTGTGCCTATCACGGGGTACACAATAACATCTAAAAAGGCTGGTGATACCCTGTGGTGTTCAAGATCGTCATCAAGAAAGGAATTTGGGGGAAAAAATCCGAATTACAGGTGACAGCTACATGGGAAAACTGGTTTTCTGTGTGACCTTGGGTAATTTTAGACACCTAACATTTGAGCATCTAAATCACAAACATGGACTTTCATAGTTCACCTCTCCAGCAAGGAAATAGGAGTAGCCTCCATCAGAAAGTCTGAGCTAAAAAAAGTTACCTTTGCAAAGACCACAGAACCTACTTTACCACTGGGAAACACAGCCTCTCTCTACTATTATTTGAAAGTTCCAATTTTTACAGCTAAGATGTCTGAAGTTCAGTCATTATTTATTTATTGATCAACCCTCTGAGAAACACAGCCTTAGAAAACAAGACGCCCAACCAATCTCCCCTGTGAGCAGCCTAAGCACAGCAGGCAGATTTAGAGCACCAGAAAGGAGCTCAAACCAGACAGGAGACAAAAAGGAGTTCAAATATTGCCCTGGTTTTGCAAAAGGCACCTTTGAGGCTACACGGTGGCTGGGAGCACAGAGCGAGCAGAACCCATCGCTGCAGTCTCTGCAGCTCTGCACAGGGCGAGGAAATAAAGCGGCCAATTCCGACGCACAGGGCAGCAGAAGGAGCAACAGCCCTTCCCGAGGACCAGCCTTCCCATATGTCCTGATCTTTCCTTGGGAATCACGATCTTACAGAGTGCAGAGCTGGGAGTGCAGCTCAGGTCCTCGCCCCATGAGAGGCTGCTGCTTTAGGGAGTCCAGGATAAGACTCCAAGAATCACCAGTGAGGCAGCACAGAGATTGTGGATGACTTCCCGGTGCTGTCGCACAGAACATACCTGTTTAGGGAACGCTCAAGGTGTTGTCTTCAGCGCAAAGGCAGATGCTTCCTCTGGCTTGCAAAAAACGGACAGCTACCCTAAAAGAAAGGGGAAAAAAAGAGCTTTCAGCAATGAAAATGTTACTGCGGGGACCACTTCCCGCACACTGAGCTTTGAAGCGAGCAGCTGAAGCACCTCCCGTGCACCTAGCATTCTTTTCATGTAGAGCTGTATGTCTACAAAGACCCTCTTGACATTGACCACAGGGTAGTGACAGGCGCTATTTTCCCCTCTTCCGAGCCAAGGTTAGAGGGGGCTGTTGCAGATACATTCAGAGCTGGCTGGAAGGCAGCGGCACGGAGCTGGAGGGCCAGTCTGCACCCAGTGCAATTCAGATTTGGGTCTGAAGATGGCTCCATCGCCCCGGAAAATGCCCTTGCCGGAGCCTGCCTGTGCAAAAGACAAAATGCCACGGGGTGCACAAAGGGGGAAGAAGCCTTTGGAGTGCTTAGTCAGCCATCAATCACACACTATTTGTCACGAGCTGACAACAACGATGCCACCGAGGCGAGAAAGGCGTCACATACGCGCATTGTGTTTCTCGAAAGATGTAAGGCTGCAGTATAGAAGCTACAACAAAAGGAACCGGAGAAAAATAGCCTGCAGAACTCGTGAAAGTCAAAGAAAAGGAGTGACAACGACAAATTTAACTAAAGGGGAAGGCTTCTCTGCAGGATTTCATTTTTTTGCTCCTCATCACAATGATCAAATTAAAAAACCCACACGCTTAAATTAAGTACAAGTTAAAGGGGAGTTAGAAACACAGTCATTCAGGATCATTATTTAGCTTCGGGAAATTGCCGCATTAGACTCCTTTGTCAAGTGAGAGAGGATAAAAATCCGCAAAAGCGGATGAGAAGTGGGGCTATGTCTCATAAAGGAGCCGCAGGATGTCCAAGGAAAGCGCGGGTTTGGATTTACGGGGAAGGACCCAGGACCCTGGCAAGGCAGCGGGGTCCACAGCAGGACGCGGGGCTGTGCAAGGCGCCCGTGTGCCCGCCACGGCCACGGGTGCTGCGACACACACCGCGCCACGCAGCCCTGCGCACAGCGTTGGTCCTCACACCCTAGAGAGCAGAAAAGAGGTGCACAAGAGGTGCCCAGCCCCGTGACAGCTCTGCGACTAGTAAGTCTTTGCTCAGGGAGCTCTGCAATGCTTGAGGCACTTGGAACCCCTCTGATAAACGCCTGGCCCCACGAAAAGCAGGCGAGCTTTGTCACGGAGCCCAGCGCCACGGGGATTTACCCTCACGCTCACACCGCAGCGTGTCCAAAGCTGCCCAGGTCACTCCTGCAGTGCTCGATGGCTGGGCGCTGGCTTCAGCACTTCCAGCACGGCAAGCCCACACGGAAACAGGGCTGCCGAGACCGCTCCGGGGCCACGGCAGCGGATGAAACCCTCTCTAGGCATTAGGAGCAGACCTGATCCACGCTGGGATAGTCAACGGAGGAAAGCACAAAGGGAACGCGCCATACAAACGTGATTGCAGAGAGGAGCACGCTGTGAGCTCTGCTTTCTTTAAAGTGGAGATAAAAAGAGGCCACCGGTAGCAAAGGCTAGTGCTGCAACAGGCCACGGGGCAGAAGCTCCACGGCTGCGGCTGCTTTCCTGGCAACAGGGCGAAACCGGGAGCTGAAAGCTCCGCAAGGGCAAGTCGCTGCACAGCTCCGTTCCACAGGGAGCTGGTTGATGTCTAATCATTAACAGTAAGGAAAAACCCTAGATAAAAGTCACCTAGCGATACACGAAAGCAAGGCTGCATTCGAGGCGGCAGGGCCAGGGCAGGCGCCAGGAAGCGCGCGGTGGCTGCTTGTTCCTGTTATGGCTCTCCCCATTTCCCCTGCAGAGGGGACAGCTTCTCAGGAAACACTAGAAATGAGAATTAGAGGGTCATTTATTTGTTGTCAGAGGCAAGCAGCAAGGCCGCTGGCTCTAGCACGGCCACGGAGGTGCACACAGATCGGTGCATTTTAGCACTGCCCTTACAGATAAGGGACAAGCGGCAGGCTCGTGTGCCACAACAACGGCTCGTTTGCGCAGTGCAAAGGGTTCAGATCCCTGCAACCAGGGAAAACAGGCACAGTGCAAGGAAAAGGCTCTAAATTTGAAATCAAAAGAGGTACAAGCAGAGCGAGCAGCAATCGGGCCCCCCATCTACATGCGTTTCCTGCGGCCGAAGGTTGCTCGGACCCCGAGCCCTTCGCGTGACAAGACGGCGACGCTTCCCAGCCCGCTTTAATCGTCCCCACAGTTTCACGCTCTCAAATATTGCCAAAAAGAGTCCTATTTGGGATTACTAGAGGCACCACAACAAAACGTTCATTGGGCTTAACAGAACTGTTGACTACTACTTATTCTTCAAGCCTTTATTTATAGCAAAACCCCTCAGATTGTATTCTATGCTTGAAAGCTTCACCAAAACAGGCTTTTTTAAATACATATTTAGAAAGTATTTAGAATAACACTTTGCCCCTTTTTAGTATCTTCTATCAAAAGCTCTCAAAAGCTCCTGAAGAAGCAGTAGCTCCTTCCCAACCGATCTGGAGCTGAGGACTCTCAACTGCCTCAGTATCGTCATGTTGGCCCTCCTAAAAAGCCCTGATCGGAGGCTCAGGAAGCTCCTGAAATCCGCTGTGCCGGAGCCGGCACATCAGCAGGCCCAGGAACAGGGGCTGCTCCATGGGCACGTAGCGGAACATTCCCGGTGCCAGCAGGGCCTCCGAGCTCGGGGCTCCCTCCACCGGCTCCGTCGGGCTTTTCCAGGCGGCCAGAGCGGCGGGCCAGGCTCCCTGCACTGCTCAAACGAACGGCTCGTGTCGCATGCGGACCCGACGCCGCTGCCTTACCTCCCGTTTTGGGTAACTTATCAACGTCCCCCAAGCAAGCCCCTCTGCTGGGAGTCCAAATCCAGCAGCCTCCATCTACCTTGTGCTCAAGCAAGCAACATCCTATCAGGCCAGGCAGGAATTTCAACCTGGAATTACAACATACGGCAGCAGCATATGCAGGGAAAAAGCCGAGTAGGGCTTGACTTACGCAGCGGGCAACAGCTTCAAGGATGACGTTACTGAAGAGAGGAGAAGCCGAGAAACACACGGAAGTAGCAAATTCAGGAAGTCCTGACGAGAAAAGCCATTGCACTTGGGAGCCTTAGGCTCCTTGGACTCAGTAACTAGAGCAACAAACTTGTGTGCAGGGAAGAACCTGGAAGCAGATACTCCTCGTGCGCACGGTCAGGAGTCCAGGACTGGCATGGTCAGGAGTCCAGGAAGACGCTGGACTTTGGTACCTTCCCCCGTGGCAGCCCTTGTGCCCAGTCCCACCCTCATCTCCTAACGAGCTTCCTCCTCTGCAGGTAATTAGCTTGTTAAGCCTGCCACAACCTTTCCTGTGCCTTGGTTTTCCCTGCGTCTTTTCCTGGCCATCCTGGTCCAATCCATTTCCCTGGGGATTTGGTCACGGCACGTTTATTGCACGGGCAAACGAAAGCCCGAGTTTTGCCTGCAGACGGATCCTATTCCACCTCCAAAATCACGGCGTACACAGCGTTACCCAAACAGGCGCTCCCGGCTGTTATTCACAGCCGGGAATAGGAAGCGGTTGTGCGAGTACAGCTGAACCGCAGCGCCCTGGCTGCGGGAGGCGACGCTCGGAGCGGCACAATCCCGCTGCTCCAACGCCTCGCAGCCCTCTGCTATTCCAGGAACGCTGGTCCGCAGGTGGGATTGGATCCGTGTTCCCATGCCTGATGCTCTCTGCTGCTCTCTGGAGCTTTGTGCCTCGCCAGCCCTGCCCAGGAGCAACAGACCCAAGGTGAGAACCACCTGCAGATAGCACCGGAATAGTGTTTTTCACCAGAACAGCGTTTTTCACATTTTTTTGATTTTCACTAATAGGCACCTGTGCTGATAAAGAACATTTTTTTTTCCCCCCTCTAGAATTCTAAAGAAATGCAAGAGTTAATCACTCCTTTGAGCCTCTGGTAGGTGTCAACCCAGATCCCTAGAAAGAAAAGCTGAGGGTGGGATAATAACGCAGAGGACGTTAACTGTTTAATTAGTAATGAGAAAAGGCATTTTCTGATCAGTCAGAAGCTGCTTTTTTAAGCCCAATATTGACTGGCAGAAGCCCCGCAGCGTAGGCGCGTCCCTCTGCCTTTGCTCCCCTCCAGCTCCGTAACCCCACGCGCCTTTAGGAGCGCCCCAAAACAGCGGCGGGGGACGAGGGGCTGCGCGGCTGGAGGCTGCCAGCTGGAGCAGCGCCCGGCTCAGCTCGCGGGAGGCCGCGTGCCTGCCCACGGGCCGCCCGTGCTGGACGGGGCCAGCAAAGCCCCCCACTTGGCATTCCGGGCGAGCGGCCGCCAGCTGCAGCTCGCACGCGCCCAACCCGCCCGCTGTTCCGGAGCGAGGCCGTCCTTGTCCTCCCCAAGCGGAACGGCTCGTGCCCCGCGGCGCTGCTGGGAGGTAATTACAGCTCTCAAGTCCCGCGCCGCTCTTCCAAAGCCAGCGTGTCCCAGGGCCGGGCGCTGGCAGCCGAGCGGCCCCAGCTGCGGCGGAGCCGCTGCCGTCGGGTACGTCGGAGCCAACAAATGTACAACCCTCCTTTCAGCAGTGTCCTCGGCTTAAAATCCAGCCTGCATTTCCATTCTGTCGATGTCTTCACAAAGTGTCCCGGCTATTTAGCACGTGCAATAATAGCCCAGTCTTTAAAGAAAATTCTTTGACCTCAACTAGCTGCTACAAAAGACCGTAATGCCGCAGATTTGAGCGCTGACAAATGCATTTGGCATAGCACCTCTGCAACAAAAAATGGGTTTTTTTCCCCCTTTTCCCAGAAGGGTATTCACAGCAAGCTCCTTTGGGATGCGGGGCAGGATTTACGCTTTAACACAGGCGGAAGGGACTGCGGGCTCACCAAAATGGAATAAAAAAATCCGCCTTTTCCCTAGCAGCTTTTTCCATGGCCACATTTCCTGGAGCTTCCTCCCAGCCACTGTCAACACTGCAGCTCCCA